TGACGACGCAGAAGTCTCGCTTTGTTGCCCAGGCTAGAGTGAGTGCCGTGGCGTCAGCCTAGCTCACAGCAACCTCAAACTCCTGGGCTCAAGTAATCCTGCCTCAGCCCCAAGTAGCTGGGACTACAGGCATGCGCCACATGCCCGGCTAATTTTATATATATTATATATATATATATATATTGGCCAATTAATTTCTTTCTATTATAGTAGAGACGGGGTCTCGCTCTTGCTCAGGCTGGTTTCGAACTCCTGACCTTGAGCAATCTGCCCGCCTCGGCCTCCCAGAGAGCTAGGATTACAGGCGGTGAGCCACGTGCCCGGCCTGGACTTCTTATTCTACAAATTGCCATCTGCGTGAGAAGGATAAATCATTCAATTATATCCTATCAGTGCCTATATAACTTCAAAAGCTTCTAAGCAATACTAATAATGACTGTTGCGGTATGATCTACCTTTTTTTAAAATTAAATTTTATTTCTTTTTCTCTTCTCTGATGTTATGTAAATATCTACCTTTTACAGTCTTAAAATTAAATATTCACAAATACTATTCACAGTATAATTTCACAAATGATACCGAATAATAAGGGAGTGGGCTATGTCTGCAATCCTGGTGTAAGCCCTTTGAGGTTGATGTATATGATTGCTTGATGTGGTTCCATTGTGTGTTGTGACCATTTGTCTTCTGAGCAGGCGCCCAAAACCCTGTCTCTAAAAAAATAGGAAAAAAAGTTAGCCAGGCATTGCCAGGCACGGTGGCTCACGCCTGTAATCCTAGCGCACTCTGGTTGTAAAAAAAAAAAAAAAGTTCCCACATGCCTGAAGCTCTGACTCAAGGGGGGGGCAAGGGCAATATACATAATAACCTTGGCATTTGTACCCCCATAATATGCTAAAAAAATAAATAAATAAAGATGAAAAAAAGGAAAAATAGTTCCCAAAATTAATTTTAAAAACAAGCATACATTTATAAATGCACTAAACAATCTATTAACATTATTCTTATGCAACTTTATAATACCCAAAGCAATATTTTAAAGGCATAGCAACCTATTAACAATGATTACCTCTGGTGAGTGGGACTGGCAGGAGTGGATGAGGAAGAAAAAGACATCAAGGTTTTGCTTTTATTTTATACTTTAAATACTTTTGTACTGTTTAATTATTAAACAAGTACTTTTTAACAAAAAATTGAATTAAGAAATACAGTTATAAAATAAAAAATTTCCACTTTTATTTAACTCTACTCTCTGTCACCCCCACCTCTTATCTTCCTGAAATAATAGCACTTTGAGAGCAAGGCCCTTGTTTGTCTTCCACAGTATACTGTCTCCCACAGAGCTATTCTCATGGGAGAAGCTATGTACCTGGAAGGGCAGAGATAGAGGCAAAAGGGGGTAGCCTTTCAGTGAGCCTTGTTTTTTTTTTTTTTTTTGAGACAGAGTCTCACTCTGTCACCTGGGCTAGAATGCTGTGGTGTCATCATAGCTCACTGCAACCTTAAATTCCTGGGCTGAAGTGTTCCTCTTGCTTCAGCCTCCCGAGTAGCTGGGACTGCAAGCGCATGCCACCATGCTCAACTAATTTTTTCTATTTTTAGCAGAGACAGGGTCTCACTGTTGCTCAGGCTGGTCCTGAGCTCAAGTGATCGTCCCTCCTCGGCCTCCCAGAGTACTAGGATTACAGGCGTGAGCCACTGTGCCCAGCCTAAGTAAGCCTTTAAAAAAAGCACTTCAAATGGGAAAGTAGACTTCAGAATAAAAGGATCTATGATCTTTTCCCTTTAAAATGCTGGTTAATATCTATTCACAACTTTAACTGCTCTGCTCCTTAAAATTTAGACCCCTATTTGAATGGGATATAAACAGGAATGGAGAATTCTGAAACCTTCTATCCTGAACTGTAAAATACAATACTATGCAAAGAGGCCATGGGTTTAAATGAGGTCAAATGGAACTAATACATGAAAGCAGCTGTTGACAAACCTGTCCCAAATTTACTGAAGGGGTGTTTAGGATTCCCTGTAGCTTTTTCCAACTGAAAGAGCCTCCAGGCATCATTCATCACATTCTTCTCATGTTCTGAATCAACTGCATTCACCTCTCTGTCTTTGCAACTCTCATCAAACAAGGGGCACAAGAAAAACTGTGCAAACCTAAGGGTGTAAAACATAATTAACAACTTGAAAACTGTCATTTTTAAAAGAATGGCCTTTAAAAAGCATTTCTGAAATATTAAACATGTCAATTCAGAGGAGTTAATCTATCCCAGAGATGCTAAATAGTGAAAATATTAAAAAACAATAAATATAACCAAAAAATACACACACACACACACACACACACACACAAGAAAAGGTAGACACATGAGAGTTCTTAGGCAAATCCTAAATTTATAGTCCTAAGTGCAATTTCACTAAAACTCAGGCACCTTAGAACAAACAAATAACCAACTTTTAAAAGGCTGAATTTGAATATCTTTTTTCTTCTTATGGAGAAAAACAAACTTTAATTAGTAGAAAAGTTAATGCAGTAAGAAATCTGAGGTATGACATAGTAGTTTGACTAAACCATGATTATGGGCTTTTATGAAACAGTAAGAGAAACAGTCTATAAATTTTTAATAAGCAGTGATTCAACAAACAACATGGTAAATAACTTTAACATAAGTAACTAATATGCTTGTCTTGAGGCTATAATTTAAGAGCACCAAAGTTTAACTAAAATATCTTTAGTTAATATAATAAATTAACTCTCTTATATCAGGCTGCAACTTCAGTCACAATTTCACATGCCAATTCCTTTTAAGAAACTTTATATGCCACCTTGTAAGAACAAGACTCAGAATTCAGATAAAGCCTAGAGTAGAAGCTCTAAATGGTACTATTCGGTGGGCCTAAGAGACTCCTGAGTCGATAAACATCTCAGTTACTACATGTCACAGTCCAGCTGTCAAAGAGTCCATTATCATTACTTGCTACTTATTTCAAGTAAGTGAATATGATACTGTGCTAAGTACTTTACACATACCAATCCAAAAGGAAACTTCATCTATCTGGAGTCTATAATTAAAGATGTATGGAAGCAAAGAATTTTTGGACATGTAACCTTTTACCTACCTCAATACACCCACGTTGGGAAAAGTACCTAATAGCTACATACCAAAGCTGGATGGGCCCAGATAATGGGTCATGTTTATGACACAGTATCAAGTTTTTAAAATGATGCTCTTATTCAAGTGAGTTATTCTAAGCCAAGTAACATTAGACATCCTCCACCATATATCTATTATATGAACATCTGTTATAGCATTTGCAGAGCAGGAAATGAAATTCAGTTTATGATCCCAGGGAACTCATTAATGGAAGTCTTCCGGGAATACTTATAAAAGATGATTATACCTCAAAGCTGCTACCTAAAGATTAAACATAAGATAGAATAAGTAGGAAGAGACTACTTTGACCCAGCCACATATCCTAAACCCAAGCCTTTGCCCTGTTAATTTTTTTAAAAATATAAGCAAGCAAATAAGGCTGAAAATGACTAAAACTCCAAAGTCAAACTTTATTATGGACCCATAAAGAAGCTGCAGAACTACACCTTAGTAACAGAGAAAACTATAAAAAGTCACCAAGGATAAACTACACTTTGAATATTGAATCAAATCACCAATATAAAAAATTAGAAATTGTAAGCTATATAAAAAATTGACCAGAAAATTAAATTGGCCTAATGGAGCTTGCTCCAGAGAATGCTTTCAAAATATCCCCAGGGTTGAAATAGCAAGTTAAAACAGTCTGATCCACTAAGTCTCTTTGAGAAGCAAGGAAGTAAAGGAAAACAGAATATTTCTAAGGTCTACCGTTCTGGAACAAGAAGTATGTTTGAAAAGAGATCCACAACACTATCACAGGTTACTCTTCATCATGTGCTTTACAGGTAACACCAGTTAGAATGGGAAGGGTTGGTGAGAATTTTATAAGTCAATAAAATATTTTGTAGGCCTTAAGACAGATTTAAAGTCATGCCATTATTTTTCCTTTACCATAAATATATGACATCATTTATTATTTTTTTCTTTTTTATAAAACATGGAAAAATACTGGTTAAAATACCTTTTGTTAAACTATAAAGCTATGAAGCCATCTTTATAAAAATAATACTAATTATTATTATTAATGTGGTTAAGTATACAAAATTGGATGATTCATAGGGCATTCATCATTACCTGTCTAGGGCACCTTCTAGATGTTCATGGGAAACATCAAAATAGTAATTGGTATGCTCTCCACTAGTAAAAGCATTTGAACTTCCTGCATGCTCACTGAGAAACTGACTGTATTCATTTTCTTTAGGGTACTTCTTTGTTCCCAAAAAAAGCATATGTTCACAAAAATGACTTAAGCCAGCAATATTTGGAGGATCAGACAATGAACCTGAAAGAGAAAATACATATATAGTGAACCTTTTTTTAATGTTCAAAGCTAGTAAGCACAGATGAATTACAGATAATTTAGACTTCTTGTTAGCATGACAACTCCAACCATACAATCAGAGAAAGTCAAACATAGGCAATTCTAAAATGGTATTATTTAGAAAGGTATACGAGTAGGCAGAAGACCTAGATTCTAGCCCCTGCCCTTGATATTAATTAGTTGGTAACCTTGGGCAGATAGATTACTTAACCTCTCTGAGCATTAGTTTCCTCACATACTGGAGGGAGAAAAGAGTTGAAAACATTGTTTTATAAGAACTAGAGGCTGGGTGCGGTGGCTCACGCCTGTAATCCTAGCTCTCCAGGAGGCCGAGGAAGGCAGATTGCTCGAGGTCAGGAGTTCAAAACCAGCCTGAGCAAGAGTGAGACCCCGTCTCTACTATAAATAGAAAGAAATTAACTGGCCAACTAATTTATATAGAAAAAATTAGTCAGGCATGGTGGCGCATGCCTGTAGTCCCAGCTATTCGGGAGGCTGAGGCAGTAGGATTGCTTGAGCCCAGGAGTTTGAGGTTGCTGTGAGCTAGGCTGATGCCACGGCACTCACTCTAGCCTGGGCAAACAGAATGAGACATCTGTTTCTAAACAACAAACTCAACTTTGCTGTTGATATTAAAATGTTCCCAGTTTACTCACATCTGGATACGTTTTTAGTTTGTTTCCAATTTCTTTAGTGTTGTTATGACAGCGTCAAATGTTCGTTTGTCAAAATCTTCTCTTTTATACTTTCTTTACTTCGTTGCTTTTATTTGCTTATGGCATCTACTAAGTATATTATATATTCGTTCCGTCTCATTTATTTGTTTCTGTTATTTGTGCGGACGAGGGGATTTATTTAGATGGAAACGTCCAGACAACATAGTGTGAATACTCCTACAGGTAAACTGATATAGGACTGCATGGCAGTCACCAGGATTGAGACAGGCAAGGAAAACCTTTTATAACATAGGGAATATAACATAGATATACCCTGATCCAATCTATAAACATTAAGTTATTAAATACTTAAATAATTCAGATATTTCTCTTCGATGAAGCATAAAGCATAAATGGTGGTACCATAGTTAAAAAGTCACCAGAATATCTCTGTAAATACAATGATAGTCTCCATTTAAAACATAACTTCTTTTTGAAAAGGAGTTGAATAATCCCGATCCATATAGGTCTCAAAGTAGACTTTCAAGATGAGCGATAACAGCCTGCATCTGTATATATCTGTCCTTCATACTTTTGAAACAACATGGAAAAATTAATTATTCATTTTATAAAATTTTAAGGGTTCTTACCCTCCGACCGCTACAACAAATAGCCATTAATGGAAGAATAGCTAAGTAAATGAACTTCTACTTTGTCTTACACCTCAATGCTTCTTGTTTTCTAGTCTCTAGAGTATATTGTTACTGAAGGGAACAAAAGAGCAATACTTAGAGCAAGACTATGTGAGCTTTACTTATAATTATTCTGACATAGCTAATAGTAACATCACTAATCCATCATTTAGTCAATAGTGTTTGACTATATGTGGATAAACAAGACAGTATAGTACGAACATAAATTTTTAAACTCACGAGTTTTCCTAAGGACTAAAAGTGGTTTGTATAAATCATACTTTTAAATCCCTATGGATAAGATAAGGTATTTTAAATTACCAAGATAGAAATGTGATCCATGGCTCCCATTCGAATACTGTTATTTTAATCCCTATGCTCTCCGATAATTATCTGAACAGAGCGACTGAGGGATATTCTTTGGAACTTGCAAGTTTACTCATGAAAGAAATTTATATTTTGGGCTGAACATTAAATTGTCGATGCGAATTTCATCGGTGTATTCTGGTAATAATACAATCGCTATTTTTATACTCAGTGATATATACAATGTACATAGACTCTTATGAAATTTTATAACAATTCAGTTAGGTAAAATAGTTCTCAGAAGAAATTGTCAAATGATCTCCTATACGTACCTGTTAATGAAGCCTTGTAATTAGAGACTGAGAGATGAAATTGAATTGATAGCATCTCCAAATGGCTAACCTAAGATCTGGCCGATATTCTTATATTGGTCTGCTTACCTAACTATTACATGAAATCTTCTTTCTTCTGCATATAGAAACCTATGGTAGAAAGTGTTCTGATGTGGCGTATATTTTTCCTTGTGTTTTTATAGTGTCTGACAATTGCTCTTGGAAGTCCCCTTCCTTCATAAGTTGGTTCTTTAACAGAACCATGGCGATCTCTAACCAGTCTTTTGCTCAGTAGTGCTGCAGTACTCTGAGTTAAGATTCATGGGCCCAGAATGCTTAATCAACAGTCCTCTTTCTCTCACTCTCTCTCCTCCGTCTGTCTCTCAGCTCAGCAATCATATGAATTCATACTACTGTACAGGCAGCTACCAAGTTTTCAGCTTCTTACTTAGTCTTTCAGTTTCTCACTAACGATCAAATCATTCAGATCTGCTCTACTGCAGAGAGTTCACATCTTCTCTCTACTGAAGGTGTTCGGTGCTTTAATTCCATATTTCCAATTCGGGGGGAGCCTTTGCTGGGGAATGGTTCTGAATCTTCTATAAGGCTTGCGCTCTCTGTGCTGCTGCTCCTCTTCTCTCACACATGAGATTCTAAAAGCCTCAGTTCCACGGCTGCTAATCCTAGCCGTTTGGGAGCTGAAGCAGGAGACTGCTTGAGGCCCGAAGGAGCTTCGAGACATGCTGACAAGAGCAGATCCATCTCATACAGAAATCAGACCAATTAGCAGTGCTGGTGCACCTGTCGTCCCAGCTACCCGGGGAGTACACGGTCTGAGATAGCCCCTCTCGCTCTCTCTCGCGCTGCTAATGATAGAGGTCAGCTGCACTCCAGCTTAGTCACAGAGTAGACCCTGCCCAAAAATAAAGTGCTTTTGTTGGTTTTATTTGTTTTGTTCTGATAGTGGCTGAGTTTATCAGATGCTTTTTTTGTTTGGTAGTCTACTGCACTGCCTATCACTTTGAGTTATTTAACTGTGGCAGGACACCATTATATTTGTAATGAATCAATTTAAAGTATTGGCAGACAGAATTTTCTGAACAAAAAGAGAATGACAGAAAGCTCATATGCAGAAGTCACCAGCTGATTAATGACCATGAGTGTAAGACTGATTTATTTATTTTTTTTGGGGGGGGGTTGAGATACGAGTCTCTGTGTTGCCGCGTAGGTGCCATGGTTGTCAGCCTAGCCACAGCTCAAACTCTGCCAAGTGATCCTACTGCCTCAGCTTCCTGAGTAGCTGGGCCTACAGGCATGTGCCACCATGCCCGGCTAATTTTTTCTAAATATTTTTATTTTATTTATTTATTTATTTTATTTTATTTTTACTCAATATTTTTAGTTGGCCAATTAATTTCTTTCTATTTTTAGTAGGGACAGGGTTTTGCTCTTGCTCAGGCTGGTCTCGAACTCCTGACTTTGAGCGATCCACCCACCTCGGCCTCCCAGAGTGCTAGGATTACAGGCGTGAGCCACCGTGCCAGCCAACACTGATTTTTTTTTGATAAAATTTTGTTTCAGCTGCTTATACAACCACATATGTGCTCTGAGTTGCTAGGTAAAATGTGCTTCTTACTGTGGGATATATACAAAAGAGTTTGAAAACCACTGATCTACACTACTTCTGAAGCATGAAAAACCACTGTAAAGGACAAACATCTTATTATAAGGTTTTTTTAAAATAGAGAACACAATGCTTGGTTTTTGTTCATCTAAAAATACATACGTTTTCCTGAATTATTTAAAATCATAATCCCTCGATGGAAAAAATGGCTCACATTCACAGAAACATTCAAAATAACAGAGGTAAATTAGCATGAATTTCTAACAAGATCCTCCTTCAAAGACTACCTTTGCAAAATTTTATATATGTATAATTTCTGGATGAAGGTATACAGCTTTCATAATATTTTCAAACATATCTGTGACCTTAAAATGGACAGACTCTATATTCTAAAAAACTCAATGTTAGTTTATATTTCTAAAATCAGAAGGTAACTTGACATTTGTATTACTTACATCACATTTTCCACACTTGTGTACTGAGTCTGACTCCCTTGTCTTTTAGCTGTTTATATTACCTTGTACTTTGCTAACTGCCTAGCCTTGTCAAGTTAAAAAGACAAATATGCCCACAAACTTCACCCATCTATATATGCCGTGAAATGTATCTCTTTGCCTATAATTCTTGAAACCTTCCTCTGGGACATTTTAAGATTGTTTCTTGCTTGTGACAAGTTTACTTGTGACAACATTACTCACTTTATTCACTGAATTTATTTCTGGAAGATTTGTGGCTGCTTCTTGATTACACTGGTTATGATTTGTCATCAGTGAGGCTATTTTTAAAAAAGGCAACCCCCAAAGAGGAGCTCAAACATGTTCTACACAATAGTAGCATTGTTGATATAAATATCTAATCTACTGAAAGGACTACTTTAAAGAACAACAATCGCCGGGTGTTGTGGCTCACGCCTGTAATCCTAGCTCTTGGGAGGCCGAGGCGGGCGGATTGCTCAAGGTCAGGAGTTCGAAACCAGCCTGAGCAAGAGCGAGACCCCGTCTCTACTATAAATAGAAAGAAATTAATTGGCCAACTGATATATATATAAAAAATTAGCCAGGCATGGTGGCGCATGCCTGTAGTCCCAGCTACTCGGGAGGCTGAGGCAGGAGGATCGCTCGAGCCCAGGAGTTTGAGGTTGCTGTGAGCTAGGCTGACGCCACGGCACTCACTCTAGCCTGGACAACAAAGTGAGACTCTGTCTCAAAAAAAAAAAAAAAAAAAAACAATCATTTGAATGTAATGATTTTAACATTTGCTCTTTAAAGTTCATACTAGGCTGGGCACAGTGGCCCATGCCTATAATCCCAGCACTTTGGGAAGCTGAGGTAGGAGGATCACTTGAGTCCAA